TATCAAATAATTTTAATCTATAGATGATTCTGTATGAGCATGCTTTTCTATTTTATAGAATATCCTTTATAAAATCATTATCGGTTCCTGATGCCTTTAATCACAGCACTCTAGCGGCAGAGGGAGGCCAAACTCTGACCTCAAGGTTTAGCCTTAACTACCTGGTGAATTCCAAGAAATCCAGGGCTATATAGTGAGACCCTGTCAAATACATATACAAACAAGCAAATAAAATGTAGCTCTTTACCAGGGATCTGTGGTGTTTGCGGCTGGTGAGATGGGGACTATAGACAGACCTTCACAATACCAAGGAACTGCACAGCAGGAAGGGCAATGGATATTGTAATCCCCACCTAGAATCCATCCAAACATCTTATTTCCCATTAGTACAATCTGATTTTAGAAAAAAATTGAATAATTTTTTTTGCCTTCAAAGGAATACAAAATCGGTTTTGGATCCTTTATTTCATCTCCATTAGCTGACATTAAAATACTCCTGGTGTGAATTTTTCTATTAAAACCACACCCACAAACAACCTTCTAGTGAATTCCAAGCACTCGACCTTGTCAAAATCCCTCCCCAGCCATGTCTTACCAACCGTAATACAGTATGTGACAAGGGGATAAGTGGAAAACTATGAGCAAAATGGGGACAGAAGATGAGAGTCAGAGAAAGTGTTTGCTCGTAGCCAGAAAATGTCCAGATACTCTACCTTCTTCATACTGATGCAGATACAGAAAATAACAGCAATAATCACGAGTTATTACAATTATTTTTAAACTGTGATGAGTACTCCTTACATCATGTGTAAATTGTGTGTTCTAACCCTTATAGCTATTAGAAAATAGCTTCTCCACTTAACATGCCAGGAAACTGAGACATAAGGGGTTAATTATACTTAGGATTGCACCTTTCCACTAACATTAGAGATCTTCCCCACCTCTTTTTGTTTGTTTGTTTTTGAAACAATGTTTTCTACATAGTCCTAGCTGTCCTAGAACTAGTTCTGTAGACCAGGCTGGCCTCAAACTCATATACACGAGTCTCTGCCTCCCAAGTGATGGAATTAAAGACCTGTGCCAACACCACCTGACTCAAGAATCTGCACTTTTAAAAGTTAAAACACTCACAGCACCAAAAGTAAAAACAGCAAACAAACAAAACTAGACAGTGGTGTTACACACCTTTTAACCAGCACTCAGGAGATAGAGGCAGGTAGATCTCTGAGTTCTAGGGCAGTCTGGTCTACAAAGTCAGTTCCAGGACAGCCAGAGCTGTTACACAGGAAAACCCTGTCTCAAAAAACAAACAAACAAACAAACAAACAAACAAAAAACCACTCACAATTATGTTTGCAATTTTCTATGAACCATCATCCACCATAGTTAATAATAACTATGAAAAAATTCTAGTAAATTTTTTAAGTTATTATTAAAGTCAAGAAAAAAGTTTAAACTCCATGTGACAAAGGAAGACCCGGTTTCTACATTTAAGATATTGACAATCCTATCATAATGAGTCATATCAATTATAAACACATAATACATCTGATTTTTTTTAACCTAACAGGTTGGTCAAAAACAAAAAGTATGAAAATGAACTGCTTGCTGGTAGAAAGTAAATTGTTCCAAACCTGGGGGGGGGGGCAATTTTTTTTAGCAAAAATAGAAAGGTGCATGCCGTTTGACTATGCCCATTTTGTAGGATTTAGTCTATAGTTAATGTGAACACGTGTGTGTGTGTGTTTGTGTGTGTGTGTGTGTGTGTGTGTGTGTGTGTGTGTGTGTGTGTGTGTGATGTGCACACACATTTCTTGTGGAGTATGTATGTGATGCATACACCTGAGCATACAGGTGTACACACTCACGTGTTCGCATACAAAAGCCAGCGCAGGACAAGGTGTGTCTGCCTTTTTCCCTGCCTCAGCCTTGAGATCATCTCTCACTAAGCCAGAAGCTCTCCCTGTTGCCTGGGCTGCCTTGTCTTTTGGGTCTTTCAGGATCTGTTAGTCTCCATTCCCCAGTGCTGCGGTAACAGGCGTGCGCAGCCGTACCCAGATTTTTTGGATGGTGCTGTGACTTCAAATTTAAGTCTACATGCTTGCAGAGTAAACCCTCTTATCTGATGACCCAGATCCCCAGTCCCTATATTGTCATAATACCAAAAGATAAGAAAGAACTTTGATGACCACTAACAGGTGCCTAATTAAATCATACTCCATCTATACCAAACAAACAAAATGAAAAAAAACAACAACAAAAAAAAAAACTCAATGTGCTCCCACATAAGCAGACCTGTGAGATAGACTGTGAAGTGGGGAGAGCAAGGAACTGAGCAACGCACATATTATGCAACCATTTGCATAGAAAGACACAGAGACAGCATAGTGAATACAGCATTTGGTTAGGAGTGTGGAGTTACCGGTTTGTAAGTCAATGGACTGGTTCCTTGTGTAGGTGTTAATACAGAATAAAATATTTCCAGAAACACAAACATAAAACTGCCAAAAGTTGCCCCCCAACAGGATAGGCAAAAGGGAGATTTTCTAAATACACTCAACAATTCAATTTGAGTTCTTAATCATGTCAATGTATGACACATAAAAATGTTTAAATTTAATATATAGAACCACTTTCTCCAACAGCACAGCCGATGCTCACTTAGTCCCATATACCCTACAACAGGGCGACTGTTTTTCCTCAGAGGATAGTGCAATCTCTCTCTGTCAGGAATCCCCTTGTAAACTCTTCTCTGAAATTTATATATTGATGTCTTTTAGCAAAGGCTCTTCATTCTGAGAAATCTTGACAGAGGGAGTCATTATGGAGTTAGGGAGAAATCTGGTGCTAGGGAAACTCCCAGGAATCTGCAAGGATGACACCAGTTAAGACTCCTAGCAATAGTGCAAAGGGCGCCTGAACTGTCCTCCTCCTGTAATCAGACTGATGAGCACCCTAATTGTCATCCTTGAACCTTCATCCAGTAGCTGATGGAAGCAGATGCAGAGATCAACAGCTAAGCACTGGGCCCAGCTCCTGGAATCCAGCAGAAGAGAGGGAGGAGGGATTATATGAGCAAAGGGGTCAAGATCCTGATGAGGAAACCCACAGAGACAGCTGACCCAAGCTGGTGGGAGATCACTGACTCTGGACTGATAGCTGGAAACCTGCATAGATCTGAACTAGGACCTCCGAATGTGGGTGACAGTTTTGTGGCTTGGGCAGGCTGTGGGGCCACTGACGGTGGGACCAGTATCTATCCCTGGTGCATGAACTGACGTTTTGGAGCCTATGGAAGGATACCTTGCTCCGCCTTAACACAGGAGGAAGGGGTGGGGGTTGGTCCTGCCTCAACTTGATATGCCAGAATTTGTTGACTCTCCATAGTAGGCCTTACCCCTACTAAGGAGTGGATATGGGGGTTGGGTGGGAGGACGGTTGGGGGAGAGGGGGAGGAGGGGAGGGAGGGGGAACTGTGATTGGTATGTAAAATGAAAAAAAACTTTAAAATAAATAAAAAATTAAAAAGGAAACCTGTAATGCCAAAACAATTAAAAAATAAAATAAAATTCTTCTTTCCTAAAATACCAGAATTTACTGAATAACAATGAATACACGAGCAGCATCAGTTTCGGCATTTTAATTTATCAAATGTTGCTGTTTCCACATGGCAGATAAGGTTGTTGGAAATCACAAGTTCTGCTATTCCAAACTTAACTATAAATGTCAATTCAAATCACACATCACACTTTACCCAAATTCTGCTATTCCAAACTTAACTATAAATGTCAATTCAAATCACACATCACACAACACCCAATAATGCACACGAGTGAGCACACACATGAATTCGTGCACACACACACACACACACACACACACACACACACACACACACACAGAGAGAGAGAGAGAGAGAGAGGTGGGGCAGAGAGACAAAGAAAGAACGGAGAGAAAGATGCAGAATGACTACAGTGGGGGAAAAGAGGCTGCAGGAGTCAGAGAGACCCTACAGCAAGAGCTGGCTGGACTACCAGAGCTTTCCGTTCTGACTTACAAACACCCATGTTATCCACATTCTTTCCAAAATTACCTTTCAAAACATTTGTATAATAATTGGAGTGAGTTATTTTTAAGACAATATTTGGAACATTTAATACAATTATTTTTTGGAAAATGGCATTTGAATATAAAATAAGTGAGATTCTTGAGTCTGTTTTTTGAATAAAAAGATCGTGTTTATTCAGTGCAGATATGGGTCTGTTACATTTGCTTGAGGGAAGCAAAACGTTCCCTAAGACAGTTAGGAAGATAAGGCAGTCGCAATGGTCTTTTCTAAAAGGAAAAACAAGCAGGGGAAGCTGCAGAGAGGAGAAAATTAAAGAGAGGAAAGGGGAAATATTAACGAGAAATGAAACAGAGTAGCGGCAAGAATTTTCCCCGGTAATCATCACAAAATCAAAGCCAAAGTTGCCAAATTTGGCAAGAGGCAAATAATCTCCATATGGTGAAGAGTGCTCAGGACTCCTAGCCCAGCCCACTGCAGCCACTGTCACCTGTCCTTTGCGGTTCCCACACCAGCTGCTACTGTCTTCAAAACCACTGATGCTTCCGAGGCACTCACGCATCTCAGTTCAGCTGAGACACAAACATCTTTAACTCCCCAGTAGTTAGCCGGAATGAGGTGATCCAGTTGATCAAGACTTTTACCTCAAGAACTGATCAGTAATAAAGGGATAACAGACATGTAAACAGCAGAAGATATTGTATTTTGCACTTTCAGTCAATACTGGCTCTTCAAGATTCAGAGTTTCTATTTTCATAATATCCCAAGGTAAGGAGTCCTGTATTTTCTTCTCCTTTTTCTCAAGTAGGGAAGCCCACAGTGTGACCCCCATGTCTGCCTATGAAAATATTTCCATGTGAGAGAACTTGGCTTCCAGAGGAGGTTACCCCTACCTGTGTGTCTTCAAAGGGTCTAGATAAAGAGAACATGTCTTCTAGGCCACCCAGAAACCCCTGAACAACAGGAGTAGCTGCCTGAATGTGCCTCGAAACCTGAGGTTATTGGTGATGAGGATAAATGGGTGAACTGTCATACACAAATAAAGTATAATTTGCCAGGGCCAATACCATATGTTATCTGAGGAGATGATGACTGTGGCATCAATGACCATGGACACAAATGACAATGCATAAAGAATCAGGAAGGAGATGAGTGACTTCAGAGCTCTGCTGTGAGCCTGGGCACTGGGATCCTGCAAGCTGTGAGCATTGCTCTGCATTCTCTGGGTATGTCTCCTGAGAGAATTAATCAATAGCAAAATTGAGATCAGAAAGAGAGAGCAAGGAATTGACATGGTGACGAGTTTCAGAGGCATAAAATAGTCTATTTCCAGCCTTCTATTCCACTCCTTAAAGGTTGTGTTCCCAGAAATTTTTCTTCTTAAGAATGCCTGATATACAGTGTAGTTGCCCCAAAAGAAGAGCAGAGTTACGATGAAGGACACCAAGACAGAGCCCAGCAGGAGCCGGGGCACCAATGCCGGGAGCCTCCACTTCAACCATAGGAAGACAGGATGGGAAAAGTTAGCAATCTTGGTGCAGAAGAGGACACTGAGCCAGGTGCCAAACCAGAAAGTGGCTGAGTTCAAGAAGTCCCAGTGCAGACCAATGATCTGCCGGGCAAAACCCCTGGAGTACTCAACCAGGTAGAGGAAGTAGTAGAAACTGTTCACCAGCCCAACACACTGCTGGCAGAGTCGGGAGGCGCCCAAGCTAAAGAGGATCATGTCCAAGGGGAGCAGCCTACCTCGCCGTAGCCATTCCATGCTCAGCACCAGCAAAATGAAGCCATTGGCCAGGATCCCCAGGAAACAAAGCAGGACAAAGATCAACATGAAGAAAACTGTCAGTGCCGGTAGCATTTCAGCTCCTCCTCCAGTCACCACCAATTGCCTTGGTTCCTGGCCTCCTCCCTGCCCCTACCTACAGTCCTTCACACTGCCTTCTGGAGAAGTGAGATGAATGGTTGGGTTCTGCATCTGAACAAGAACTTCACTGGGAAAGATGTTCAGGCAATAGATAAAAGGTGTGCTCTTGACTCAGATATGATGCAAATATCCCCTGGGCTTGGGTACCATGGAGCACCAGCTGCTCATGATTTGCCTTCTCTGATTTTGCCTAAATGCTACCATGCTTAGAATAGCACCAGTGGAGAGGGGTTTTAGTCTTGGTAAGTAAGTTCCATCCTTCTTATCCCATCAATTGACTATATGCACACTCATCTTCCTATTAGGTGTAGACAGACAGACAGACAGACAGACAGACAGATAGACAGACAGACAGACAGACATAAATAGATGCATGGATACCTAGTACATGGAAATATCTAGGAAAAATTGCAACAGTAAAGAAGTCAGTCTGAGCTGAGTTTCCCTGGCATACATCTACCCTCACTCATCAAAGTCAATACCTAAGTCTACCTTTCTACCCAAATCTACTTAAATCCCCAATGGCACCTATGGTTTAAGGAATTTTTAACTATCTAAACTGCTCTCTTTTCCAGTGAGAGAATATATTTCCTTGTGGTTGTAGGGCCGAGTGCATTTGTTTCCTTCTGGATATTGGTTAGAATGCACTTAGGTCCTACAAAGATTGAGACAGAGACTGTCCTCAATCTTGGCCAAGTGAGATATTTAAATATGGCCACTGACTTCATTAGACCAGCAGGGTGCGGTATATGAGCAAGACATGAACAACACAATTCTAGAATTTCAACCTATCTCATTTGCCTGTATTATTGACTAGAAACACACAGCTCTGTTACAGGATATATAGCTTGCTGGCCTCCTTTGCCCAGAATCAAGACAGGACTCTTATCAACTGGGAAAGTGAGGAATCCATAAAGCTCCAAAAGTCAGAGTTGGTGTTCATGAAGGCCACCTTAGATTTGTCTACCACAATGAGATACCACAGCTCAGAAGGCACAAATGAGCCTTTCTGCTAGCACCAACATTAGAGAGACTCACTACCAGACCACATTGAAAAGTGAAACTGCTTTCATTAGAGAGATTCTCTACCAGACTACAATGAAAAATGAAACTACTTTAACATACCTATCATCTCAGAGAGTTCTATTTTTCAATTACTTTTATGAGTCTTTCAGCAAATCACAAGTATGTACTTTGGTATGACCAGCTGTGTCACATGGATGAACATTCAGCCTCCAGGACCGTTTAGTACGGCTGGAATTTTGTACTTCATGACCAGCATCTTGCTGTTCATTCCCTTATCCTAGACCCCTGACGACATCACTGTACTTGACTTCTGCAAACTTGGCTATTTTAGCTTCCACATGTGAAGTCTTCCAGTGTCTGTCTTTCTATGTCTAGAGTTCTTTGCTTAGTTTAATGTCTTCTAGAGCATAATGTTCATTTGTGTTGTTTCAAGTAACAGTATTTCTTTTTTTATTAAGAGAATTTTATTTACCTATATATGTTCTTGAAGAAAACAATTCACATGTAAAAATTAGACATCTGATTGGAGATTCAGTCATACTTTTTTTATACAGCAGATGTAATTCTTCAGTTCAATGGGATTTCCATGTGATTATGGCCACAAAATTGGCACTCTATATTTAAAAAAAAAAAAACAGAGACAAACAGAATATGAAGATTTAGACCCAGGCTGCACTGCCTTTCATAAAAGATCTTAGAAGTGTCTGCTGTGAACTTACCAAAATAAAGCCAGAGATCAGAGGTCACAGATAGTGGCTTGAAAGATAAATCTCTTTTCTAAGAGCTACTGGTTTTACAGAAAAATATTACAAATCAAATTAATGCTATCTGAGGCGTTTGTTCCAAAATCGCATGTGGTGCATTGGTTCATACCAACCCCTTAGGGCACAGTACCTGGTGGAGACTACATTTCTGGTCCAGTGCACTGTGACCATCTCCTCCAGCTCAGGGCGATACGATGCTCAGCCTGGGAACTGACCAGAAGTCACAAAATCCTACATTGTCAGCCATTTGGTACACTTAGAATTTGTTCCTAGTTTGAGATTCAGAAAAACTGCTAAGGGAACATGACGTTGTTTGTATTTCTTCCTGATGGAAGGAAATTTGTAGAAATCTGTAAACGTAAAACAGATTTCTTTTTTTAATTTTAAAAGAATAGACTTTAATAAAAATAATAATGACTTTATGTTTCCTAAAAGTAAGGAATTAAGGTATGCGGTGCTACTCTTATTGAAATCCCATATGGCCTTGTTGGAAAAATTAAGATGCTATCCCAGAATTCATACAAACAGCAAAAATAATTTTGAAAAGAATAAAGTTGTAGGGTAGAACACACACTTTCCAATTCAAAAATGTCTACATAGATAGACCAATGAAGACTGTGTGGCTTACCATAGAGATAAAAAATATAAATCAGTGGTAGAGAATTTAGAGTCTAGAGTCAATTACTTTTTAAGTAAGTGCACCAAGCTAATTTAATATGAAAATAGTCTTTTTTCTTTACTTAGATTTTTTTCCTTTTTTAAATTTAAATTAGAAACAAGCTTTTTTATTTTATTAGTTCAAATTAGGAACAAGCTTGCTTCAGATGTCAGTCCCTTCTCCCTCTCCCTCCCCCAGGCAGGGTAAGGCCCTCAAAAGGGGCTCCCCAAAGTCTACCACAAAAAGATTTCTTTTTAATAGAAAGAAATAGCTGATTTTTTTTTCATAGCTGGAAGTTTTACTCAGAGGTGGTTCGAATTTTAATTTTGGGTTTTGAGATGGGGTCTAACTATGGAAACCAGGGGTCCAAACTTGTCTGAAATTCTCCACGTAGAATCCTCCAGATTGTCCTAGGACTCACTGCAATTCTCCTGCCTCAGCTCGCTGAGTGCAAAATACCACGCCTGGCTTCAGATTGCCATGTTTTCCTGAAAGTCTGGAGGCTAAGTAGCGTTTGCTAAGTGGAGATGTTCCAAGGTGCTGCTCCACTTAGCCCTTCATGATATGTAGAAAAGTGAAGAGATCTTACATGCTACAGACAGCCATTCTCACCTCGGTTTCTTTCTTCACTCAGTGACTGGTTGAAATGAATTCATGACATATATTTGTCATGGGAACCTGTGCAGGCGCATGGACGCTTTACTAGAGAGGCAAGGTCTTGAGCAGGGGTCATGATTCTGGACTCCATTTCCTGTGCGAGTGGGAATGTGTATACCGGTTCCTCCCAGCCACGCTTGTGCCATGATGCATTTCATATGTCTTCTCTCGTCTGAAGATCTTTATAAGCAGTAATTGCCCTGTTCAGTCACTGCTCCAGGTCAGAGTTGGTTGGAACAGAATTCGTATGTATTGGCCTCTGAATCAGCTCATTCCAGAAACTGAACCCCAACAGCTACTGATTCCAGAATCCTGGAGAGAAACATGTCACTTCTGGCCTTACAGAAATTTACAAATGCCTGGTATTCTTTGAGTTTATTCATGACCTCCTTGAGGGCTGGATAGCCTCCTTCATACCTCCGGAGGTGGACGGTATGATCCTGCTCGCCATACCACATGTTCCATGTCCCCACCAAGGTACAAAAGTACAGCTATCTTCTTGGATCTGTGGTATCACTTCTTGACAAATTTTGTTCCCTGTCCGGGCATTCTGGCTTAACGTTGTGAAACTGTAACTTGTTCAGACTGCTTGCCTCCTTTTTTGGCTAGGAGGTTAGAGCTGATCTTTTCTTGGATCAGCCTTTCTCACCGATAAGGACTTGAGCCAGCCATCTTCTCCACCTCTGACTTGAAGATATCACTCTCTGGAACCCGAGCAGGAAGCTGCCAGGGTCAGTTAGCTACAGCAGACCTCCTGGAGCAAGCAGCCCTTGTGCCTACTGTCTTGCTCTGCCTGGGGGCCACTGACTACGATACTGCCCAGCATTTCATTTTAAGGCTGAATAATATTCTATATCGGTCATATATCATGTTTTCTTTACCCATTTATTTACTAGTACTTTCTTATTCATCTCCATGTCTTGGCATGGATATTCACTACTCTGGTTTAGATATGTTTGGACCACACCAAACCTCACGATGAACCTTGGTTCCAATATGGCCAGTTAAAAGGTGTTTCAAATTTTCAGAGGTGGGTGGTTCATTAAGAGAGATTAAGTCTTTTTCTCATTTGTGTTCTCACTCTTGTAGGACAGGATTACTTATCCCGAGAATCTGAGAAGTGATGGTGGTGCCTCCCTAGTCTCTGGATGTGGGATTCTCCTCTGCTTACCTTCCTTTACCAGAAGTTAAGCAAAGAGCAGTGCTGTACCCTGAGCTTCTAAACCTTGATTCAGAATAACCACTCTCTTTAGAAATCACCCAGCATAAAGGCTTTTGTTAAAGTGACAGAAAATGGGCTAAGACATAACGTAAACCCAGGCACAGACTGTTAAATAATAAAATAGTCTGTTCTTCCTTCCTTCTTTCCTTCTTTCCTTCTTTCCTTCCTTCCTTCCTTCCTTCCTTCCTTCCTTTTTCTTTCTTTCTTTGTTTCTTTCTGTGTCTTTCTTTTTTTCTAAACATCCATATTATTTACCAAACTGGTTGTGCCAATTCACATTCCACCCAGCAAATCCAGCGACTTGTTTTCTCTGCCTCCTCCCAACATTTATCTCTTTCTGGTAACCACTAACAGGTGTGAGGTAATGCCTCTTCGTGGTTTGGATTTGCATTTCTCTAAAGCTGATGACTCTGAGCACATTTTCTCGCCATTTCTTGTCTGTTTGCGTGCCGCTTTTAAAGACGATCATCTATCTCCTCAGGTCCTTTGCTCACATTTAAATCAGGTTGCAATTTTCTTCTTTCTCAGTGAAGAAACCATTCTTTCCACACTGCACCTGAGTCAAAGTTGTCTGTGTGTGTGTAAGCTGGCATCTGAGCTCTCTGCT